GGAAGTTTACTGTTCTGTTTCTGAGGACCACTTGGGGTTCCTGGGTATTCTGATGTCGTTAGACCCTGTGAAGGGGGTTCTGGGCTTCTTCCATTCTGAGTGGGAGATCTGATTAGGGAATGATTGACCTCAGAGTTCTCGGCCTATGAGGGCACTTCAATTCCCTATGATCTCCTTGGCAGTTGGGATATAGTCCTTGGTACCCATACTGATAGTCCTTGGTGAGGTACCGGGAGTCTCTGGGGTTAGGATTCAAGCCTTCTCCTATCCTCCCATTCCACTCCGGGGTCCCCTCCTACTCTGTGCATATGACCTCCTGTTAAGAGGCTATCAGGATTGCTCTTGGATCCTACTGTATGTCTTTAGACCTGCACAGAATTTATTATATGGTAACTTGAATGTTAAGAGGTTTGCTCTGGGTAATAGGTAAGCAATGAAGATGAGAGATGTTGGTTCAAAAGTCATTAAAACAAGAGTGAGAGCAGTTAGGCAATGCCTAGTGATTACACTTGGGGTGAACTTGGAAGTTGTAATAAAAAGGATTCGTTATTGGATTGATTGAATGAGGGACTAGGTACACTGGGAGGAAAAGGGGAATCATTGTTTTGGACACATTCACTTAGAAATGTATGTTACTCAAATAGATGTCAGAAAAGTTAGTCATTCTTTGCTATTTGAGTGATTATTTTCAGTATTTCCCATGGTATTGTTACTCAGGTATTCAAGTTTTAGTTTAAGATGGTAGATATAGGGCCCAGTGCAGTGGCACAGTGGTTAAGGTCCTCGCCTTGCATGCCCGGGATTCCATATGGGCGCCGGTTCTATCCCGGCAGCCCCGTTTCCCTTCCAGCTCCCTGCCTGTGGCCCGGGAAAGCAGTCGAGGACGGCCCAAGGCTTTGGGACCCTGCACCTGCGTGGGAGACCCTGAAGAGGCTCCTGCTTCGGATTGGCATAGCATCGGCCATTGCGCTCACTTGGGGAGTGAATCATCGGATGGAAGACCTTCCTCTCTGTCTCTCCTCTCTGTATATCCGCCTTTCCAATAAAGAAAATAAAAAATAAATCTTTCAAAAAAAAGATGGTAAACATAGAAGCTATAAAATGCTAGATATTTGCATAATTTATGCACATTCTCCTATTATTCACCTCTAGATTATGTTGATACCTAATGTGATGTAAATGCAAGTAGTTACGATGCATTTTTAGGCAGTAAGAAGTTTGTAAATGTTCAACATGCATGAAATTTTCATAACATTTTCAATCTTCAATTAGTTGAATCCATGTATGCAAAACCCATGTATATAGAGGGCTGACTAATTACCAATTTAAGGGAAGTATATGAGTTGAAGATACATATCTGGGAGACAAAGCATAGCCAGGTAGCGCTACAATGAATAGACACCTAAAGAATGAGTATGGACAAACTAGTCAAATCTGGGAAGATCTGACAATGTTGATTAAGTACAAGAAAATCTGGAGTGTTCAGGAGATCATGAAGTAGGGAGTGATGAGCTACTCATTGCTGTCACAGTTGATTAAGATGTAGTGTAAGAATGGATCTGCTTGATCAATGGTGCTAGGAATGCTGGGACACCCCCATGAAAGACAATAAAGTTGGGTCCTTACAATAGACAATAAGTCAAATGGATTAGATTAGAAGATATAACATTAGAAAACTCAGAAGTAAACCAGAAAAAAACATCATGACTTTGGCTTTGGTAATAACCTAAATGAACTTTGGCTATGATACTCAAACTGTAGGCAGTGAAGGCAAAGTTAGACTTCATCAAAATTAAACTTTAAGAACACTATCCAGAAAATGGAAAATAGTTGTGTAGGTTGCAATTCCAATAAAAAACATGTCATCCAGACTATAAATAACTCACAATCTCCTGAACTCAATTACAAAACATGGTATATAAATGGCCAAATACATTAAGATGCCAATCACTAATCACTATGGAGATACAAATTAAAACTTGCATAAGCATGCTTCTGATAAAAGCAAATCTTTGAGAATGAAAACAAGAGATTAGTTTTAGAGACAGCCCTAGTAGGCTTAGAAAACAGGTTGAAGGAAAAAATCTGACCAAATTACCATTCACAAATCAAGTCACTTAAGGCTTACATGGAAATAGCCAGTGTGGAGAAACAGTTATTCCTGAAGTCAGCCAACACTATGCCCCGAGGGAGGAGTAATTGATGAGGGAATAGGTTCTATAAGAAGCCAGACACAGAAATTCCAGAAGGCTGGACCCAGGGACCAGGAGCCCCTGGAATCACCTTTTAAACCAGGGTATCATTGGGCCTTTGCATGTTTTGCAAGGACAGTGCCTGCTGTTTGTTGGGAGAAGAGTAGCCAAACACAAGGATATAATCAGATTCCTTTTCCAGCTTGTTCTTTTTCAATCTGATGCATGCTAAAAGGAGGACGGTTTTACTTCTCCCCAAAACCTACAGAAGTGATTCAAGCCTCATGACAAGGGGTGAGAGCACCACAGCCTGGCAAAGGGAGAGGATGAGGAAGAATACATGGGGTAAGAACGCTATACACAATTCAGATGGGGAGCCAGAAGGCCAAGGAAGGATGCATCTCCTGGGGTCAGCTGGCTCCCAGGGCTGCAACATATTGCCCATGTCAAGGGAATCAGGCCTGGGCCTGAACTGGGGTAGATGAGTAAATAAGAATCAAGGTCAAGTCTAACTGAAAATCAGAAGAGCTACCAAAGAATGAGTGGGGACTGGAAAAAGAAGTGTTCAGTGTTGTAGGGGGACAGGCTTCATCCAGGGACTGAGCCACAGAATGACAGAGCAGGCTGCCTGCCTGTGTGTCCTCAGTCCCAGCTAATTTCGACTTGTCTCAGGCTTTGTCTTCTTCCCAGTTTGAGTTTTGATTTTCTACCTCTCCATCTAACAGCTTTCTATTTTTATCAAATATTTGAATTTTCTGTCAGCTTCACAACTGCCCATTCTACAATTATCAGGAGAACCTCCCTTTCTTAAAAGGAGCTGGTGTCCCTTTCTGTTGCACATCAAGGAGCCCATCCACAAACTTACACTGAACCTGCATCTCCCAGGTACACTTAGTCTAACAACCCAGATCATTTTAGCCACATCCTTGTAACTGCTGTCCGTTTCTCTACTGCATGTTTTGGCCTCATCTCAGTTGCAGATGCAGTGAGATCTTAGAAATAAGAGTTAGGAAGGAGAGGTCAGGTGTTCTTGTCTAGCAACAACTTCAACTAATTTTGTCTCTTCATCCTTAACTTTCAGGCAGAACCCTGGAGTCCTGCAGGAGGAATTGGGCAATGTAGGAATTAATATGGACCTGCTGTTTACTTCTATGACTATTTGAAGACTCAGTTTCCCAAATGCAACAGTCTTTGTTCTTCTCAGGATAAAGGTATAGTCCATCAGGTAGGTAACAATACAGAGTACTCTCTAGTATAGAGTACCATTTGTGGAGAGAAAAACCATTGGCTTCTTTTGCCATTGTTTGGTACCTCGATTATGAAAGCAGGAAACATGTAGGGATGAACACGTAAGAACATGGTATAGCACTGATGCCAAGCAGATCCAAGGGCACTGGGTAGAAGACCCAACAAGCAAACTCTGGCTATGAGTAGAACTACAAGTATTTTATAGTTGAAGCAGGAAAATCAGCATCAGTAAGTTGCCTTTTTGAGAATTTATTGAAAAGGCAGATTTACTCCCCAAATGGCTGCATTGACCAGAGCTGAGGATCCAAAGCCAGGAGTTTTCTCCTAGGTGGGTGCAGAGTCCCAAGGATTTGAACGATTCTCCACTGCTTTCCCAGGCCATAAGCAGGAAGCTGGATTGGAAATAGAACAGCTGGGACTTGAACTGGCACCCATATGGATTGCTGGTGATTGCAGGTGGAGGATTAACTAGTTGAGCCATTGTGGCAGCCACTATAGCCAGGCATTTTAAACAAAAGAGTCAAGTTGCAAGATTGAGGTGCAATAACAAATTAGATACATAGGAAGTAAGGGAGACAAGTCAGGGAAGAGAAAGGCCTGCTTGAATTGGACATGCATTCACCAAGGAGAAGAGTAGCAACTTCAAGAAATAAGAGGTACTATATTGATGTCATGGTTATTGTGGTGATAAGTATTAAAAATTTATAGTTCTGGCATGGGGTGTTTATAAATCTATCCTAAAGCAGAGACACCTAGGAAAAAATGTAAAGAAACACATTAGACAAATTGATGGTAGGTTTTGTAGAATACGTGCGGGGACAATCTCAGTCTGGACCATGGTGTATTCTATAATAGCAAAGGAGGAACAAGTTTCTACAGGAAGGAAGTCATTCATGCATCCTTTTTAAAAAGTGCTTATTGAGCACCAATTGTGTTCAGTAGACTGAATAGAGAAGTAAGCAATAACCCTTGTATTGAAAGCCTTCACAGTCTGGATACATGAGGGTGGCGCATTCACCAATCATTTTCATTGCTATTGGACTTGGTGCATTAGCAAGCCCTCCTTGAAGTGGTTGAACATTGCCTGGAGGAATCTTAGGTGGTTTCACTCTGAATGTAGTGGAGACTTGTTTAGGGAAGAAAGCAGGATCTATTTTGATTAGGAATTTAGGTTGGTAAGGTAATGACAGTAAGAACAGTTAATGTTTTAAGTGAAGTTTTGCATACAGCAGAATTATACATTCTTTATGAAGTTGCCTTTGGCCATATGCAGACAGAAGAATGCTTCCTCCATCTCATACCTGTACACAGTTGCTTTGTTACATTATTGATATTTAACATCAAGACTACTCAATGACTTTAAGCACCTTGACAGCAAAGCCCACACATAAGCTTCCATGAAGTGTAAGGATTGTTTCATTTTCTTTCAAGGTCTAGAAATGGGAACACGTGCTAATCCTCAAATGAGTTTAGATGGATACATGCTGCAATTCTGCTGATATTGATACTCCAGTGGAGCCTCATGAAAACCAGAACTGAGTAGCAGCCTTCTCAGTGGCCATGTCCGCCTACAACTTCACAGTCCACCCAACAGCCTTCTTGTTGATGGGGATACCAGGCCTGGAGCACCTACACATTTGGATTGCTATCCCCTTCTGCCTGGCCTACACAGTGGCCCTGCTTGGCAACTGTAGCCTCCTTTTTATCATTGCTGCTGATGCAGCCCTGCATGAGCCCATGTACGTTTTTCTGGCCATGCTGGCATGCATCGATTTGGTCCTTTCTTCTTCAACACTGCCCAAAATGCTTGCTATTTTTTGGTTTAGACATCGAGAAATCAAGTTCTATGCTTGTCTGACCCAGATGTTCTTTCTCCACTCCTTTGCCATCATGGAGTCAGCTATGCTGTTGGCCATGGCCTTTGATCGCTATGTGGCCATCTGCAAGCCACTGCATTACACCACAATCCTGACAGGGGGCCTCATCACCAAGATTGGCATGGCCACAGTGGTCCGGGCTGTGACACTGATGATTCCACTTCCTTTTCTGCTCAGACGCTTCCACTACTGCCGAGGCCCAGCCATTGCCCATTGCTACTGTGACCACATGGCTGTGGTAAGGCTGGCATGTGGGGACACCCACTTTAACAACATCTATGGCATTGCTGTGGCCATGTTTATTGTGGTTTTGGACTTGCTGTTTGTCATTCTGTCCTACATCTTTATTCTCCAGGCGGTTCTGCAACTTGCCTCGCAAGAGGCCCGCTATAAGGCATTTGGAACGTGTGTCTCCCACATTGGTGCCATCTTGGCCTTCTACACACCCGTGGTCATCTCTTCAGTTATGCACCGTGTGGCCCGCCATGCTGCCCCGCATGTACATATACTTCTTGCCAATTTCTATCTGCTCTTCCCACCCATGATCAATCCCATAATCTACGGTGTGAAGAGCAAACAAATTCGTGATCGAGTCTTAGGATTTTTGCCGAGGAAGGATGTGTAAAACAATGAAGGACAGGTGGGAATGGAGGTGGTAGGTTGCATGCTGAAGTTGGGGATAGAACCGGATATCATGGGAAATGAAGGGTTGCCAGACTCTGCAGGCAGTTTTTTTCATGTAACGAAGTGAACCTAAAATACAGATATTAATTGTTCAGAATTGTTGTTTAAGTTCTGGACTCAAAGTACTAACTGTACTGATCCTTTAAAGTCCTCATTTCTTTCCAACAGTAACCTTCCAGAATGTTAACCTGCTAGTCTCTTAATGGTGCTGGGTAAACTCAAAGATTCTGAAGTTCGTTTGTTTGAGATGGTGAGAATCTGAGCATCTATCCTGAGTTTCTGGGAATTTTGTAAACAATTCATTCAGGGTGTGAGGGAAGAGCTGTGGGATATCTGACAAAGGAATCCTTCCTCAGGCACTCTAATAGGTGGTGCCCAACTATGACACAGCAGTCCTGGCTTTAGGGAGCTGCCGAGTTCCTGGACTTCAGGTTCCACAAGAGGCAAACCTTTAAAGATTATTTCTTCCAACTTAGCTGGTCAGTGCATTGGCATTTTTTTATACTTCATTTTCATGGTCAATAACTCAAAGCACTTCTTTCTACACCACAAGACACTTTGCATACTGATGTGTCTCACGTCAAAGAATGTAAGTAGCTTTTTAAATGATCCAATCAAGTCTATGCTAGAGTTGGGGAGGCTTCACAGACCGTTAGGTGTGAATGCCACACACTATATGGCCAGAGCAGAGAACACTCCGAGTGTTCTCTGAAATCCCAATCCCCAGACCTAGCACAGTGGGAAAGATAAATCAGATAAGAGGTTTATATTTGTTTATATTTGTTTTATATATTTGTTTATATTTGTTTTTTATAAATCAGGTAAGAGGTTTATATTTGGTTTATATTTGTTTCATTTCTCTTGACACAAATATGTGCACTGGATAGTTCCATTACTATAAGTTCTGATAACACAACCAGGCTTAGACAAACTAGATTGCTGTCTTCCAAATATATTGTCCTACTTTTATCTTGTTTCGTAAGTGAAACACATGTATTTCTAACTGTACTATCTTTATAAAGAAATCTCCAATCCTTTTCTAAACATGGTATGAGAAACAGAAGTTTAGGAGGAAGGTGTAACAATAACCCAGAGTCCTGTCTCCCCTTTTTAATTTTATATTTTTGACAATCTTTACATAGTTAATTGGGGTAAAAAAGGTTCAAGGGCTATAGGAAAGTAGATAAGACTATTATTTCCATATTGTTTCCTTCATGTTTAAAAGGGGGGTATTAAGGGAGAAGGCCCACCCAATTTCCCATCCTCCCCAGGTCCCGGATGTAGGGTATGCTCCAAGGTTCTTGCTCAAGTGGTTTTGATAGTTCACCAGTTATAAATTGCTGCCAATCTTGCCACTCCAAGCACTATAAGGTCTTTGAAGAATCCACTGGTTGACATAGTCCATCATAGAGTCTCCATTTGCCCTGTATTTTGCTGCCAACATATACCTGAGATGGTTGATTGACCTGTTCTCTTTTCTTGGTTAGGGTTCTGAGTCCAGCATTTCGATTGGGGAAATCTCCAAAGAAACTTTGAGGTGTTCTTGGACCAGATTCTTGTATGTACTAGCAAGCACAGGGCCCAGCACGGTCCATGGCCCTGATCAGCTGGTGGTTGCAATTGCTGGGTTGATTCTGTTTTCAGCCCTGACGTCCACTGGAACCAATTGGTGTTGCAGTCCAGCCTGGTGCTGCCCAGCACATACTCAGCCCTTGCATAAACAAGTGGGAGCTGCAGCCTAGTTGGAGCAACAGCCTAGTTGGAGCAACCTGCAATAACCCCCACCAGGCTTGCCCCCTACCCTGGTTTGCCAGTATGTGTAGCAGTAGTCCAGTCTATCCCACACCCCATTCCAACCCAGCCCCTGTCCTGGTTTTCATGCCCTCCCGTGAAAGTGGTAACCCAAGAGGGATGAGCCCACTGTTTCCCTCCCAGGCCTCTCCCACTCCCAGATATGCACTCTCCAGGTAGTTCTGTGGTTTGACTTGACAGAACTAGCCCCCAGTGCCAGCTTCTGCCAACTGATGCTGTGGCTAAGCCCAAACAACCCTCACCCACTCTAATTTTGTTCGCACCAGTAGGAATAATCCATCCAGCCTGTCATTTCCCTGATCTAGTCCACATGAGGTGCACAGGTGTTGTAGCCCTGTTTAGTCTGGTCTGTCCCCATCCCAGCTGATGCACTCCAGTGGGAGTAGCTGTCCAGCAAAGGAACCACCCCTTATTCCCCTGCCGGCTCTGGCCCCCTCCCTCCCTGGTTCGGTGCTGCAGTCACTTCTGTCACAGGCATTCTCACCTTGGCATTCCGTATTGTGTACTAGTTTTTGTTGCAACTGAACCCGGCTCGACCCACACTGTTCTGGTGCCTAGGTTTGCCAGTGGATGATGTGAACAGATTCAGCCTGGTCTTCCCCCGATCCATGCCATTATGCGCCTGAGTAATTTTCCATGGCCTGTTCTGGGTTGTTTCCTATCAGGTTTCTTGCACTTACATTCCAGGTCTGTGTCCTGCCAGAGGAGTTGCCCAGGCTCCTCCATCAGAATCTCTCCCAATGTCAGGTTTCACGCTTCCCAGGGGGTCCATGAGCCAGTCCTACTCAGTTCACCTCCAGTCCTAGCAGGAACAGTGGCTTTTCCTGACTGGTCTTCAACCCAAAATGGTCCTTGCTGTTGGATGTTTCAGCCCATATGGCTCACACCTGCCTCGGTAGGGGTTGAGACCTTGCCTAGTCCATCCCACATCTACCTTGGTCCTCCAGGACACTAGAGGGTGTTGTAATCTGGTCTGGCTTGGTGCATTCAATCCCAGTCCACATTTGTGCCAAGGGAGACTACAACCATTTCCCGCTCAGAACACAGCCCCCATTCCAGCCCACACGCCCTTTGGTGGGAACCTCAACCCAGCTAGGGTTGTCCCCTTAGCTCCCCAACTGGGCCTGTTCCCGGCCATAGATCATGCGCATGCCAGTGGTTGCTCTGACTCAGCTTGGCTCAGCCCCTCACCTGTCCTGACCTCTGCCTTAGACACTGTGGCTTAGAGTTCCTGGCTCACACAGACCAGTAGGTGCAAGAGCCTAGCTCGGCATGACCTGTGCTCCATCCTGGACTCTAGTTTTGCTTGTGGGCTAAGGTTTGCTCAGTCCTGCCCAGTCCACCCTGTTCCATTACCAATTGACACATTAGCCATCTATCTCTTGGAGCTACTTTTCTCAGTTTGTCTGACCCCCAGGTCTGGACCACATTCACCAGAGGGAGCTATGATTCACCAAGGGAGTTTTCCAAGTTCCTCCACTTAATCCACTCCCATACATAGTTCTCATACATGCCATTAGGTTTAGGCCAGGTTCTGGCGAAGTCTGGCCTTCCATTTGGCCTTGTATGAGCTGGTGAATGTTGCAGCCTGGCCCATCCTAGACCACAATCAGGATGCACATTTGTGTGCTGCTGCCCTGACCAGTCCAGACTGTTGTGGGTTCCTTTACCTGTGACTGATGGCAGGCTCCTTGGTCACACCTAGCTTAGTCTATCACCACCCCATCTCTTGAGATAACCAGTGGGGCTAGAATTTCCACAAGGTTTGGCCCACACATCCCCTCACTGAATCTGCCCCCGGTTATGGTTCTAGTGCTAGTTAATGTAATGGCCCTGCTTAATGTGACCCTTCTCCTGATCCATCATCATGTCAGATAACAGGATAGGATTGCCATGCAAATATAAATTTTATGTGAGAACTTTATAGTAGTCTTGGTGTGGTCACAAAGTTTCTAAATAACTAGCATTTTCCAACATCCCAAAATGAGACTCAGTTATCTGTAGTGAAAATACAGTACTTGAATCAATCATTTTGCTCAGTGATGCTTCCACAATGATTTTTGCTCAAGTCATAAGCCTTAATCTTTGAATTCTTTCCATCACACCATTTAGCTAACTCTTTATAATAGTATTGAAATTTTTTCAAATACAATGGGTTTTCATGTTTGCATATTCTACATCCAAAGTCCAAATATTGATCAAAATTATGTGGTGAGGGGGTGGGACTAGGGCCAGGGACGGTGGCCTCTTGGCGGCCGCAGGGTGGCTGAGAGATCCCAGGACCCCTAGCTAAGTCTCACGCCTGGATCGCACATGGCAGATGCCATGCACAAGTGATGAGCTGCCACCCGGGCAGCCAGCGCACCATTTGGCGTGAGGCTTTGCCTGCTGGCTGCCCTGCCAGGGAGCTCTGGGAATCTGGTTCTTTGTTTGCTGCTTAGATAGCTCCATTTCGAACCCTCAGTGCTTTGTGAACGTGAATCAATCCTAACGATCCCCAATGACAGGTAATGTTCCTCAGATGAGCCTGTAATTAGTACTGGCTCTAACTGTGCTGTGAAAAATTGCAATACTTGATATACTGTCAAAACCTTGTGCTACTCAGAAATGGAATGGGAGAGCAGGGAAGTCTTCCATTTCCTTTGAAGATGTGAGGAAGATGTGTAGAGTAACCTATCAGGAGCATAGCAGGTAACCTATAGACAATAAACTCAAACCAGAATTAGACAATGGTAAAAACACAAAGACATACAGGAGGAATCAAAGAGATCCTAGCAACCTATTAACAGGTGGTCACATGCACAGAGTAGGGGAGACACCCAGAGTGGAGCAGGTGAACAGGAGGAGGCTCGTGTCCCAAAGCGGGAGACTCCCAGATCCCCACCTAAGACTGTCAGTACGGGCACCAAGGACTGCATCCCAACTGCCAAAGAGACTACGGGGAAGTGGAATGCCTTCGGAGGCTGAGAACTCAGAGGACATCCCCCCCCCCCGCCTCTGGACCTACCATACGGGATGGAAGAAGCCTGAGCCCTTCATCGTGGGACCGAGGGCCATCGGAACAACGGACAGGAACCCTGAGTGGTCCTCAGAACCAGAAGAACAGTAAACCTCCTTTGGAATTGGGGA